CGGGTTTGAACCCGCCACCCTCAGTATATGGGGCCGGCACCCTACCCACTGAGCCACAGGCGCCCACCCCAGTCTTCCTTTAAAGCAGCCAGACTTTCACTCAGGACTCGTGTCACTGTACCAGCTTGGAAGAGGTGTGAGAGAGTTGAATGTGGGTAGAGATCTGAATTCAAACCTATGAGACCAGGAGTCACCTTATTTCTTTGTTCATTTAGCCCTTACTCCCCAAGTACCTCTGCTATGCCAGGCCATGTATAAGGTGTGGGTGACAGATCAATAACCAAGTTCTCAGTCCAAGTTCTTACCCACATCAACAGATACTCAGAAAAAAACAAACAAACAGATACTCAGTCCAGAGGCTGGGGCCACAGAGGAGGCATCTGACCCAGCCCAGGGATCAGGGAGAGCCTCTCAGATCTTTTGCTAGCTGTATGACCTTAAGCAAGTTACTTGAGAGCTGAGTGCCTTAGTTTACTTACCTATAAAATAGGTATAATAATGATATTCTTTTGGAAGGGATTACTATATAATATGTAAAATTCTCAAAACAATAGTGGCCAGGGTAAGCAATTGGTATCCTTGGGGTCACTGTCAGTATTCTGGGGAGTAAAGAAACATGGGGATAATTTGGGATTCCCCTGAGCCTCATGCAGAGGCCCTGCAACCTAAAGTTTTGGCTAGGATTGGGGAGTGAGAAGCAGTATGGCAGAACTTGGCACCTTCTATCTCCTGCGTATAGGAGTTTTGTGATTAGGCCCAGTTCACAAGAGTGGTTATCCTGATTTTCCCCCTTAGGCTGCTATTGCGCAAACAGTGTCCAGGATGATGGGCCTTATCTTCTTTTCGAGGACCAGGAAGGCGCTGAGAGGATCCATTTTCTCAACAAGACACAGCTCTGTGCCGGGTAAGGGACCCCAAGGATGTTGAATGGGTGGCACTGAGATGTTTGGTGAAGTGTGGTTGAGTGGTAGTGAGAGAGTGAAATGAAGGGCCTAGCTTTGTGCTAACTGTGAGCTCACAGGAAAGCCTGGCTTCCCATCTCCTGGTCATGGTCTCTGCTTCCTCACTGGTCTCCCTGCCTTCCCTATCACCCCTCTAGCCTATCCTTTTTTTTTGAGCCAGTCTCACTATGTCACCCTCAGTAGAGTGCTATGGCATCACAGCTCACAGCAACCTCAAACTCTTAGGCTTAAGCGATTCTCTTGCCTCAGCCTCCCAAGTTGCTGAGACTACAGGCACCTGCCACAATGCCCAGCTATTTTTTTTGTTGGAGCTATCATTGTGATTTAGCAGGCCCACGATGGGTTTGAACCCACCAGCCCCAGTGTATGTGGTTGGCACCCTAACCACTTGGCTACAGGTACAGAGCCTCCTTTCTATCTTTCTTTTGAGATAGAGCCTTAAGCTGTCGCCCTGGGATCCAACTCCTGGGCTTAAGCGATTCTCTTGCCTCAGCCTCCCAAGTAGCTGGGACTACAGGTGCCTGCCACAGCACCCAGCTATCTTTTGGTTGTAGTTGTCATTGTTGTTTGGCAGGCCTGGGCTGGATTTGAACCCTCCAGGTCTGGTGTATGTGGCTGGCGCCTTAGCTGCTTCAGCTAGCTACAGGCGCTGGGTCACCTCTTTTCTTTTTTTTTCTAAGTAGTTTTTCTAATACACAGACCTTGACTATGTCAGGCCTTCCTTCCTCAGTGCTAGTAGGGTAGACCTCAAATACCTTTTTTTTTTTTTTGAGACAGAGTCTCACTATGTCACCCTTGGTAGAGTGCTATAGTGTCACAGCTCACAGCAACCTCAAACTCTTGGGCTTAAACGATTCCTTTGCCTCATCCTCCCAAGTAGCTGGGACTACAGGCACCCACCACAACGCCTGGCTATTTTTTCTTGCAGTTGTCATTGCTGTTTAGTTGGCCGGGGCTGGGTTCGAACCCGCCAGCCTTGGTGTATTTAGCTGGTGCTGTAACCACTGTGCTATGGGCGCCAAGCCAAGCTCAAATATCTTAACTGGCACTTGTGACCTATTGCCCCCAATTCACCTTGTCAGCCTTTTCTCCCTTGCCTTTCACTCATGAACCTTACACCTAACATTACCAAATATTCACTGTTCCCCGCTGAACCATGTCCTGGGCCGCCCTGGGGTTCTCACACCTGGTCCCTCTTTCTGGAGAGCCTGTGTTCCTGTCTACCTGCACCTGCAAAACTACCCAATCTCAGGCTGAGCTCATTGTGCTCCTCCCTCCCTCCCCTCCCACTGCCCCCTCCTCCTTCTCCTTTTTACCCACCCTTGTCAGTGTCAGTTTACCAACCCTTCTCTCCTCACAAAACTTGAAGCTTCCTGAGGGCAGAAACCTGAGCCAATTGAACTTTCTGCTGCCAACATCCCTCAGGGGCCAGCACAGAGCCAAGCCATGTCTTCACAGTTGCCCACACTGAGACACCCAAAGGGGTCACACAGCAATTTCCAACCTAGGGCTGTGTGTCTGCTTCTTAAATTCTACCCTTTGCAGGCAGAAGCTGGTGTTCTACGATTCCAGTGAGGAGGTGGATAAGAAGTCCCTAGATGCTGACCCTTGGCTTCCTGTCTTGACCCCAGAGGGCAGCCCCCATGGTGACTAAAACTCCGTCTGTTCTTATAGGCTGGTGTGGGCCTTGTACTTTCATTCTGAGGATTTCTATGGAAGGGGGAGAGTGGGAGAGGGAATGGAGATTCACTAAGCACAGAGATGGCAAACACAGTGTGCCGACTGTCTCTTTGCCATGGGTTGCCATAGCAGACCTTGCTCATTGCCCATCACTCTTTCTTGTGAGTCCAGACACTGTCTCAAAATCTTTCTTAACACAGAGTTGCAGGTAGCTAATCCTCCTCAATATCAGCACATTATGATGTTGATTTTTTTTGCCTGCCTTTGACATAATACCAAGCATACCTCTAAATTGCCCCTACCACCAACTCAAAATGAGAAATTGGCAGAGTCACCTTTCTCCAGTGTCTAGCACCACGTCCTCAAAGCTGGCTGCTGTGTTGGGGCAGAGGACAGTCTGTGGCCACACTCTTAAGCCTGATGTTTCCTTTTCAGGGAGCCCACTGGCCTTGGGGCCTCCCCAGATTGATACCTGGAATGTGACAGACCACCCAATTGAGATCCTAGGACTTAGCCCTTCCCTCTTCAGCTCCCCGGGAAAACTGCTACCAGAACAGATCTTGGAGGATGGCACTGAGTATCTGACTCAGGGTGAGCATCCAGGGCTAGACCTGACACAGAACATAGTGATACCATGATGTGCACAGGCTTGTATGCAGGCCATGCTGGATACCAAGAGGGGAATCCCTCTCAGGCCTGGCCTCAAGGAGCCCATATCCTAGCACAAGAATAGCCCCAGGTCAGTGTGGGGAGTGGAAGGCTCTAGGGGCCCCTAACAGGGAGCCCTTTGCTCTCTCTATGGTTGGAGGTGCCCGAGGTAGAGCTGGCCTGTGAACTGGACTGGGGCAGCAGGTTGGAGATCCCAAAGGAGAAAGCCAGAGGACACTCTAGCTCAGGGGGATAGCAGGGAGGAGGCATGGTGCTGGGAGAGAAGCAATTTTGTTCTAGCGACCCCTCTATTCTCCTTCCCTGGCAGCTCTCTTTGAGGAAGTGTATTTAGATTCTGAGTCTTCACCTTCCTCCTGCGTGCCCGAGGCATCAAAGAAGGTAGGCATCATCCGCCTATCCCAATCAAAGACTCATCATCCATTTTTCCACATATTACTCATATTGATTCACTCATCCATCCCCTCTCCCTTTCAGCTGTAACCTACCCATCCACTCACCTACACATCCACTCATGCTTCTCATCTTTCCAGAAACTCACCCACACACACACACATACTGTGCACTCATCTGCCCAGCCTTTGTGCAGTCACTTGCTGGGCACTTAGAATGAATGAAACAAAAAAGATAAAAGCTGAGGCCAGGGTGAGGTGGCTCACATCTATATTCCTAGCACTCTTGGAAGCCAAGGTAGGAGGATCCTTGGAGCTTAGGATTTTGAGACCAGCCTGAGCAAGAGCAAGACCCTATCTCTACTAAAAGTAGAAAAATTAGCCAAGCATTGTAGCAGGTGCTTGTAGTCCCAGCTACTTGGGAGGCTGAGGCAGAAGATCACTTGAACCCAGAAGTTTGAGATTACTGCTAACTGATGCCAGGGTGACAGAGTCAGACTCTGTCTCAAAAAAAGAAAGCTGAAAGCTGCCAGGTGTTCCTAAAAGACCCCCACCTCATTTTTTTTTTTTTTTTGAGACAGAGTCTCATTATATCGCCCTCAGTAGAGAGGTGTGGCATCACAGTTTACAGCAACCTCAAACTCTTGGGCTTAAGCAATTCTCTTGCCTCAGCCTCCCAAGTAGCTGGAACTTCAGGTGCCCACATAATGCCTGGCTATTTTGTTGTTGTTGTTACAGTTATCAGGGCCTGGTTGTATTCAAACTCACCAACCCCAGTTTATGTGGCCGGCACACTAGTCACTGAGCTATGGGTGCCAAATTGTAACCCTACCTCATTTTATAGCTACTGAATGAAACAGGGTCTCTTATGGCCCCATTTTACAAATGAGGAACATGAAATCAGAAGTGACCCTAGGAATCCTCAGTTAGAATAAAGACCAAACACAGGACTACCTCCCTCCCAGGCTCCTGGGGTAATCTCTGTAGCCATGATCTATTCCAGGTAACTGTGTAATAGAGACTCAGCCCCAGTTCTAGTCCCTGACTGATTCTTCCTCCAGTGTCACCTCAATGAGTAACTGAATTGGCAATAGAAACGAAAGTAGACATCAGTAGCAGAGCTTTTATTAAATAGTAAGTGCCAGCTACTATGTGAAGTGCTTCTCAACTCTGTAAGACATATATTATGGTCAGGAGTTGTAGATGAAATCCATGGTCAGAGAAGTTAAGATTCGCTCAAGGCATTAGAACTACTAAGTGAGTGGAAAATGGTTGCCTTAAGAAGATATTGTCCCTTAGCCTAGGGGTGGTGGCTCATGCCTATAATCCCTGCACTTTGGGAAGCCTAGGCAGGTGGATTGCTTAAGTTTAGGAGATCCAGAACAAAAAAAAAAAAAAAATAAGACCCCATCTCTAAAATTAGCCGGGTGTTGTGGTGGGCACCTGTAGTCTCAGCTACTTGGGAGGCTGAGGCAAGAGGATTGTTTCAACCCAAAAGTTTGAGGTTGCTGTGAGCTACAATGCCATGGCTCTCTACCCAGGGCAACAGAGTGAGACTCTGTCTCAAAAAAAAAGAAGAAGAAGATATTGTCCGAGAATAGGAGGCAGATGCCTCAAACCCAGTGCAACCTCTCTCTGACCCCTGCAAGAACTTTGGAACATTTGCTTGACTATCCAAGGGGTGTTGAGACAAGGTTGTCTTTAATCTGAGCTGCTTCTAACGTTCATGTTACATCCTAGAGAAACAGTGATGGGGTGAAGGGGAACCACCTATCCGCCACCCCCCCCCCCGCCATCTTTCTCCTTCATTATGGCCAGGACATTGCCTCTGAGGCTCTGGAAGACCCTCCTGACTCTCACAGCCTGTGCCAGTCCTCAGTCTCCCTGGACCACTGCTACCTCTCTCTGAGCGAGAACAGCAAAGCACCATCCAGCTCAGAGGACAGCGACACAGATTCTGTGTGGAGACAGCAAGAGGTGAGAGAGATGGCCATCTGCCAAGGCCAGTCACATGTCTCTTGGCCTCTCTCATCTCTCTGTCTCCCCCAACCAGGACATGACAGCAAACCCTGAGGGTTTGCAGTCCTCCAGTGATGAGGAGGATGGAGACTATACATGGACCCCCACCCGCCGGGCCTCAACCCTGCCTGCAGCAGGGAGAAAGGCCAGGAAGGGCCGAATAAGCAGGGGCCCTGTGAAGCCCAAGGAGAGCAAGAAAGCCCCCTGTCCCACCCAGATGAAGAAAAAGTGTGTCAACGGCTTCATCATGTTCTGCAGGATGAACCGGAAGCAATATATCCGGTGGGTTGCGGGGGGGTCTTCTTTGGCCCTGGATCAGGCCCTGCTTTACTGTCTGCCCTCACCTTCCTCCCTCCCTTCCACTACTATCTGACATATTTGCCCCTTTCTGGAACCCATTAACCTTTCCTCAACCATGATTCTCCAGAATTTAACCTGGACTCTTTACATTGGCCAGGGCCCATCAGTTGTAATGATTTCAGACTTAAGAGAAAAATGAAACTAGGTTTCTCTCACCTTTCCTCTTTCACAAGAGGAACCCATTTCTAACTCTCTTTGGACATGCTCTAAACTTTCTCTTTGTTCTTCCTAAATAAAATCTCTCTGCTACCCTGAAAGAAAAAGAAAGAAAGAGAGAGAGAAAGAAAGAAACTAATTGGCTTATTACATCCCATAAAAAAGGCCAGATATAGATTGCCTACCTTCAGATGTGGTTTGTTTTAGGTCTCAAATAGTGCTGTCTGGAATCTTTGTCCCTCTCTCTCAACTCCATTTTCTTCTGGGCTGGCTTCATTCTCCAGTATGCTAGGCTATGTGGAGCACCCAGGAGGTGTATGCTTGTGTCCTTTCTACCACCCTAGCAAGCTTGTTAGGGGGAGAGCTCCTGTCTCTGAGGGTACAAGCAAAAGTCCTAGAGCTGATTTTGATAGATAAAGTGCCCAGTCCTGAACCAGTCATTGCCAGACCTGAAGACAGGGGAGGAGGAGGCCCCTAGACACCCTGAAAAAGAGCTGGTTCCTTTATAAGAAGGTTCCAGTACTAGTGCTAGGAGCAGTGGCTGCAAGGCACCTAGACTCTCCTGGGACACTGGCTGCCCCCTTGTGAACAACTGTTTAATCTATCTTCCTTCTTTTTTTTACTTTTATTTTTTTATTTTTTT